AAAAGCCTTCCTCAAAACAATGGGAGGCTGTGACTTTGGGGTGAAACCTGTACCCAAGCCGGCAATAGTCTCCCCCAGCCTCATCTTCAAGAGAAAACGCGCCACATCTACAAGGTGACCCCTCAGCCCAGCTTGAGGGCAGTAAGAACTTGAGGCAGTGTCCCTTGGAATCTGCAATACCGCGATGTCGATCTGTCGTCCCTGATGGCGCTTCATCGTGTGAGGGCTTCACACCCCTTGGAAGGAATCGGCTTTCACGGCACCTGAGTAAAAATGGCTCACAGTTGAAATGATCTGACACAAATATAACCCTTTGGGTGGAAACTGAAAGCTGGAGAGAACGAACTGCATCACCTTCGCAGCCTGCCTAAGCACGAGCATCAGAAAAGGTATTTTGCGTAAGTGATTTTTTTTTTATTTGGGTCATTATAAACGAGGTTCTCTGTGCTGATGCCGTTCTGAGTTTAACAGGACCTTTCACAGCCCAGCTGTGTGTGAACCAAGGCCAGATAACTCTTGGTCATCAAAGATTAACCTGTGAAAATGTCTCTGTACCCAGTACCTCATACCAGCAAAAATAATAATGTTATGAATTCTTGTGTGGGTATGCAAAGCAGAAGCATGTTATTAAGAATTGACAGAAAAATACTGGGTGGTGGTAGTGCACACCTTCAATCCCAGCACTAGGGAGGCAGAGGCAGCTGGATCTCCAGGTTCAAGGCCAGCCTGGTCTACAGAGTGAGTTCCAGGACAGCCAGGCTATATGGAGCATCACCTGAGAGCCGGCACAGGAGGAAGGTGAAGGTTGTCTGGTACCCTGGAGCTCAAGTCCAGCTTCTTCTGGCCTACTGTACCTATACAAAGGGGGCCTGGGACGATCTGCCCCAAACACCTGTGAATGTGACACGGTTTGGAAATGTGGCCTTTGCAGGTGCCATTGGTTGTGCTGAAGTCACATTGCGGAAAAGTTGGTTCCAGTCCATCACGGCTGGTGTCTTTAGGAGAATAGAAAAGCCACTCCAAGGAAGCTGACTATGCGGAAATAGATGTGACAGAGGGCCAAGGGCCAGAGAAATGAGCCAGGAGGTACCAATGACCAAAGACACCATCAGAAGGTGGAAAAGGCCAGGAAGGATGCTGGTGATTGAAGGGTCAAGACCTTGGTCACCTCAGCCCCAGAGCTGTGAGAGAATGAGTCCCCATGTTTGAATGCACAAGATTCACTCTTGTCTGGGTGCCAAGCTGTCCTACCTCAGCCCGCCCCAGAGGAAGGGAGGAAGTTGTGGGTGGGGATGAGCAAGCCTGTAGACGTGCCTGAAGGTCATGTTCTTTCAAGTGTGTAAAATCACAGATGTGAGAGGGAAGAGTGAAGCCGGGCGGTGGTGGCGCACACCTTTAATCCCAGCACCAGGGAGGCACGGGCAGGCGGATCTCTGTGAGTTCGAGGCCAGCCTGGACTACACAGCAAGTTCCAGGACAGACAGGGCTACACAGAGAGACCTGTCTCAGAAAAAAAAAAAAAAAAGGAGGAGGAGGAGGAGGGAGAGGGAACAGGGACACTCAAGGTGGTGGGAGATTTGTTTCCTTTTCTTTTCTTCCCAGGGCTTTATTAGTGTTGCCTGGCAAACTTTTGCTAAGGCCAATTAAGAAAACATGCAAGGAGTTAGAGAGATTGCTCAGTGGTTAAGAGCACCGGCTTCTCTTTTAGAGGACCCAGGTTCAATTCTCAGTACACACATGACAGCTCACAACCATCTGTAACCCCAGCTCCAGGGGATCCAATGTCCTCTTCTAACCTTAGAAAGCACCAGACACACTGGGCAGTGGTAGTGCACGCCTTTGATCCCGGCACTCGGGAGACAGAGCCAGGTGGATCTTTGTGAGTTCGAGGCCAGCCTGGGCTACAGAGCGAGATCTAGGACAGGCACCAAAACTACACAGAAAAGCCCTGTCTCGAAAAACAAAACAAAAAAACAAACAAAAAAAGCACCAGGCACACCCATGGTGCACAGACATACATGCAGGCAAAAGGCAATACTCATAAATGTAGCAGAAATCTTAGGAGGTCTTATTAATAAAATCAAACCTGAGGCCAGGTATTGGGGTGAATGCTGGAAGATCAGAGAAGCAGAACAAGCCACAGCTACCTCACCTTGCCAGTTCCTCAGCTGATCCTGTTTCCTCAGACTGGAAGCCTCTGTGTCCTCATCCAGAATGGGTCTCAGCTGAACTGTAGCTCAAAAGCCTAAAAGCTTAACCAGCCGAAATGCTTCTAGTTCCTGGTCCTCACGCCTTATATACCTTTCTGCTCTCTGCCATTACTCCCTGGGATTAAAAGCGTGAGTCACCATGCTTGGCTGTATCCTTGAACACATGGATTTCTGTCTCTGGAATGCTAGGATTAAAGGCATGTGCTACCACTGCCTATCCTCTATGTTTAATATTGTGGCTGTTCTGTTCTCTGACCCCCAGATAAGTTTATTAGCGGGCACAATATTTTGGAGAACACAATACCACCACACATAAAATTTAAATTTAAAAAAAAAAAGAAAGAAAAGAAGCAAAATCTGTAGACCAGACATGTTTGTTGACGTTAGTCACCACACTGCTGCTTCGTCGCTCGGCTGCACTGTGCACTGCTCTCGAGTGACGTTGCAGACAGAGGCAGAAACCACAGTTGCTGTCCCCCAGGCCAGCCAAGCGAGCTGTGTATCTTGATAAGACTGCTTCAGCCTGTCAACCTCACCCCTGTCCTTCTGGAGCATCCTTCCAAACCTTCCTTCTAGGAAAAGATCACCATTACCATTTCAGCTATTTCCTGTCTTCTACTCCATCTCACCACAGACTCTGATGAGGTTGTGCTAACCTTCGCAGGGCGAGCCGTGGCTCTTTGTTCTTCAGGATACACTTCAGAACATTCCATCTCACTGTTTTTCTCTTCAGTTGCATCAAATTCAATCTTCAGCCTGTCCTTTTGAGAGAGGGTCTCATGTAGCCGAGGCTAGCCTCAAGCTCACATTATTTTCCTGTCTGGGTCATGGTAGTTCTGTTTTTAGCATCTCTTGCTCCTGACCATTCTCCACATCCTGTCTCTTTGTGTCTGATGATCTTGGACTATGGGCTCGGGAAGCATGTCTTCAGAGGAATTGAAACTACATGAGGCCCAGGACTTTGTCTTTCTTGAAGGGAACTCTTTCTGCTTCTGAAATGCACCTTGAGAAGTAGTGGACTAGGACCAGTTGTTACTCCCAAAGTCTAGACTTGAAGTTTTTCTCATCAGTGGGGACCAGGATTCAGGACCCGAGGGACACTAAACCATACCAGGACCCTCCCCCCACTCCTGCAGCACAGCCCTGTAGGATGCAATCCCAACCCAAAGCTGGGGTCTCTTTTAACAAAGCTCTCAAATTCTACAGCATCCACTGCGGTCCAGGTTTCATCTACTGTTTTTCAGTTGGTCAGTGCCCAAACCCCAAATGACCACATATGCCAGGTTTCCGTCTCTGGACTCAGGCCTCTTCCAGATTTTGGTGCAGTCCTTTTCTGCAATCTTGTTAATTCCCTTGGTGCTGGGGCTGCCTATCATGCATGGAAGACAATGCTGTGATGAGATTTTTGCAAAAAGAAAGGGCTTGTATTGAACATCACCCAGCAAAGAGGCAGGCAGCATGCTCCGGTTGGCTTCTGCTGTTCAGGAATGGACTTATGGGAAGGGTGAGGGGTACTGCTTGAGGATGGGTACAGATGTTGGCATGCTTCTTCATGGGTCATGTGTTGTTTGGTGGGGGGATTATGTTCTCCACACGGAACTCTGAGCTTGTGACATCAGGAGGTCATCAGCTGGGTGAGCAGCCTGAGCAGGGACAGCCAGTTTCTAGTTGGCCCCTGGCAGGTTCAAGCTTGTCTCAGTAAAGGTCCCTCACAGAGCTTGCCATTTGCCTAACCCGTACCAGCTCCACCTTGTTGCTTTAAATTTTTATTTTGTTTATTTTACATTTGCCTGACTTCTTGGAGTACCCTCTGTGGGAGAGTTATTGGGAATTACCTTGTCTGCTATTCTTGGAAATAGCTCTGCCTTCAGCCAGAAACTCAAGTGTGGGTAAAACCCTACTTACAAATATTTCATTTAGAGAATATCTCCCAGAGCCCTTTTAGATTTTTCCAAGTGACATGCTTCAGGTGCATTTACCTAGCTGCAGCTTCCTGCACTCTCCACGTGTTGTACTGCTATTACCTTCATTTTAAGAACAAGGAAATTATGGCTTGGAGATATGTAATAGTTCTACCCAGGGCCCAGGATGGAAGGGATGCCACTCCGATTCGAACCCGGGCTTGTCTGGCTGGGAAGACTACCATCTCCCTCTTTCCTGGAAGGAGAGAAAGTTGGTCAGGAGCTGAGCAGCAGCCACAGACAGCCAAGAAACCAGCGGATCAAACAGGCTCTTGCAGCCTATTCTGTACAAATCACTTCAACCATAAAATCTGACAGCTTGTAAATAACGGCTGGAGAAATCCAGAGAGAAGAGGAGTAAAATTAATTTGAGGCTGATTGTCCCAGGTCTGTGGCTGTAACCCCCAATTCTCTGCTTCCCAGCCCATAACAGTCTTCCATGGATATTTACTTCATTTCCACGTTCCTCCTTTCTCCGGCAGTGTCTAATGGGAGACGTATCAGTGGACTGTCTGTTTATTTTAGGAAGTATAGAGACTTGAAAGCGAGTTTTCACTTTTGAATCAGAGAAACTAGTTCTTTTTTTTTCTTTTTCTTTTTCTCAAGGACAAAGCAGCGTGGGATGGCAGTGTGTAAGCAGGCATTGAAAATGTAAATATTTACGTGCTCAGCTAAGAGATAAAGGATTCTGACCCCCGAAATAACTCAGGAATTGTCTTAGATAGTGGGCTTGGAAGAACATCATAATGCATTTTATCATTATTTTAAAACATAAAACCATCAATCTTTGTGTAAAATGCTGAGTTTAAGCACACATTCCAGAAAAGCATCAAAAACAATAATTAGAAATTTTTATTCCCTTCTGTTTGGGGATCTGCTGATGAGTCTCCACACAGCAGCATGCTGCACAGGCTGCCTCTAAAACCCTTCCAGGAAATGCCAGACTCTGAGCAAAATCTGAAATCCTGCTGGAGAGCCTCACGGCTTCATCCCTTTAGGGATTCAGTCTGCAGAGGGACCGAGAGTCTGGTCTCCCACCAGCTCCAGCCACTGAGTTGCTGGTCGCAGGGTGTTTAATTTTCAAGATGCAGAGTTCAAAGGGCACCCCCTGAATGGCAGAGAGAGGATATTAAAAAGCCCTGTGATCGTACCAATGGAAAAAAAATGTCCAATCATATACCTGTTATTCTTTAAATGTAAGCAAATTTGTCTACGTGTACCAAATAAGACTTAGTTCGTTGCTGATCTTACAATACAATAGTCTGTCATGGCAAATGACTAGCTGTCTTATAAAACATGTTTTCAGATTTTATATACATAGAACTTCAGTTTTTGAGAGTATTCCATAGCCATCTTGGAAAAGGGTAGAGAAGATAGCCTTGAGGGAAAAAAACCTTTGTAAATGCATCTCATCAGAAGAGCTGTGTGTGTGCATGCATGCCTGGCATATACATGTGTGTGCATGTATATTATACATACACATTTGTGTGAGTCCACATGCCCACATCTTCACACACACACACACACACACACACACACACACACACACGTATATGTATATGCATACACACATGTAAACACACACATGCATATACATGTGCACACATAGATATATACATATGTATAAGCATGCAGGCAGGCAAACACACACATATATTCACATGCTTTCATACGTAACGTGGTAGTTAAAATGAGATCAGCCCCCATAGGCTTGTATACTTGAACACGTGGTCCCCAGTTGGTGGAACTGTTTGGGAAGGATTACAAAGTGTGGCCTTGTTGGAGGAGGAGTGTCACTGGGGATCATCTCACGTACCCTTGATCACCCTAGGAGTAACTGGGTGGCTTCACCTGGAATGGCTCAGCTAACCAAAGAATCCCAGTGCAGCCATGCAGCACTGGGAGACTATCAGTGCTACACCAGGCCCCAATGGTACAACATATGCCCAAGGGGCTCCCAGACATTGAGTGCGTCCTGCGCCCACACCAAGGCATGCCACAATGTACCTACCGAAGCCCACCAAAGAAGCAGCAACCTACATGGCCTGTGGAAATAGACTGTCAGCTGTGCAGGTATCAACACAGAAAAACTAGAAGCATTTAAAAAAAAAAAAGCCAAGGAACATGAAACCTCCAAAAGAAATTAGCAACAGACACCAAAGGGAAAGAAACTGAGAAGTTCCTTGGAATGTAATTAAAAGTGATTTTTAAAAGGGAACCCAAAAGAGACAAGACAATACAGACAACTGAATGCATGCTGAACAAACCACACACAGTGTAAGGAATGCAGTAGAGACAGATCGCAGAAACTCATCAGTCTTAGAACTGGGTGAGGGAGATGTCTCAGTTGGTAAAGTGCCCACTGAACAAGCAGGAGGTTCTCTGTACGACCCCAAGAACCGGGTAAAAAAGCCAGGTGCAGTGTTGAGTGTTTGTAATCACAGTGCTGGATAGGGGAGACAGTTAGATCCTGTGGCCTCAGGATATCAGTGAGTCCCAAGTAAGGGAGAGACCCTGTCTCAAAACAAACAAACAAAACCAGGGAGTGGTGGCCCACGCTTTTAATCCCAGCACTCAGGAGGTAGAGGAAGGTGGACCTCTGTGACTTCGAGGCCAGCCTGGTCTACAGAGTGAGTTCCAGGACAGCCAGGCTACACAGAGAAATCTTGTCTCAACAAACAAACAAACAAAAACCAACCAGGTAGGTGGTGGCCTGAACAATAATATATATACAAGATTGACACACATGTGCACATAACACCCGCACAGTCTTAAAACTGAAGAACTTGTCTTTTAAAAGCACAGTGGGTGGCCTCAACAACAGACAATATCTATCAGGCAAGAAGAAATAATTGACTGACTTCACTCCTGGTCTTTTTAAATGACCCAATCAGACCAGAAATAGAACAAAAAATTTTTAAATAAAAGAAAAATAAATTTAACTGAATAAAGAAAGCTTGCAAGATTTATGATACATTGTTGAGTGGCAAGCTTTGATATTAAAGGTGGGTGCTCCAAAAAGAGGAGGGAAAGGCCATAAAAATCAGTAGTAACTTATTTATGAAATAATAGGTACAACTTTTCAAAACATAGAAAAGATGTGTTTTACACCGAGGAAGCTCCAAAGACTGAATCAGACCATATGATGTCAACTTTGAGGTATATAATAAACTATCAGAAAACAAAGAGAAAATTCTGAAAACAAGAGGAAAACATCGAGTCTTATATAAGAACAATAAGGGAATCCCCATTAGAGTAACTGGCAGAAGTCGTACAGACCAGGAAGAAATGAAGAGACATATCCAAACTCCTGAGAGAAGCAAAATTGGTAACCAGAATACTACATTCAGTAAAGTTATCTTTCAAAAACAAAAAGAAAAAAAATAGTTTAAAGGATAAGCGAATGTGGCAGGAATCCATCACCACGGGATAGTCTTGCAATTAGTACTTAAAGGATATAGGTACCTCAAGGCAAAATAGATAAAAATTGCTACCATAAAAAAAGACATAAAGTATTACCAACAGACCAGATATACAAAAGAGAATAAAATGTTATCAGTCCAGAGAACCTCTAAACTAAAAACATGAACAAGAGAAGAATGAAGATGTACAAAATGTAGAATAAAGTAAACAGAATGACTGGAATAATTCCTTAACAATCAAAAATAACCTTAAATGCAAACAGCTGAAGTCCCCAACTGAAGGAATTAGACTGGCTGAATGGACTAAGAGGGAGGGGCTCAATGGTATACTGCCAGCAAGAAACTCACTTCCCCTGGCAAAGACACAAATAGAAAGTGAAAGATAATTCTTTACAAAAGAAAGTCAAAAGCAAGCAGGAACAGCTACAGTTACGTTAGATAAAACAGACAAAGTTTCAAAACAACTATAAAAAGAAACGGTCACCATATAAAGACATCAATCCAATAATAGGCACTCAAAGTCGTAAACATACATGCTCCTAATATGGAATACTCAAATATATATATAGCATCATCGAGATGGGGAAAGACAGACTGCAATACAACAAATTATCAGAAGAGACAGATAAACGGGCAAAGGAAATATGACGTGTGTCTACAATGGGATATTATTCTGCCATGGGAAACAACCTTGTCACTTGTGGCAACATAGAGTTAGAGGACACTGTTAAGTGAAGTAAGCCAGGCTCAAAAGGTTAATTCTGTGTGCTCACAGTCACATGTGGAAGGTAAGAAGCTGACTTCATACACATCAAGAGGAAAGTATTGGTCATTAGGGGCTGGGATGATGGATAAAAGGAGGTTGAAGAGCAGGTCACAAAATATAGTCACATGGGAAAAATAAGCTCTCATCTAAAGCACAGCAGGCTGTGTGGCTTCCAACTCAAGTTATATACTTGATGAACAAGAAGGGAAGGGCTCAAAGTTCCTGAAACAAAGAAACAATCCATGTTTAAGGAGACTGGATGTTAGTCGTCCTGACTTGAGTGGATAAACTATCACATTGAACTCCAGAGGACAAACCATCTTTTTAAAATAATTTTGAATAGAAAATACCTCCATGGCCACACTGTATGTATTCCAGTGAATATGCATCATTTTTCTAGGGACCAGAATCAGTCACGCTGCTTGCTTGTTCTCAATCCAGTTGAGATTCATTCATTTAAAGTAGAAGCCTCACAAGCGAAACTAGTAAGTTGCCCTCTGTTATTATGGGAAAGCTTTATGACCAATAATGGGAAAGAGAGGGTAAAGAAACAGGGAAACCGAGAAACCGAGACAGTCTTCATTGGGTGTTCAGCTGTCACCACTTTTAATATCTGTATCTTGGGCCAGGGAGATGACTCTGTGGATGAGGGTACTTATCACTAAAACCTTGTGACCTGAGTTTGATCCCCAGGACATATAAGGTGGACAGAGAGAACCAACTCTTTCAAGCACATGCCTACTATGGCAAACTTGAGTCCAGTACCCTCGGGCACTCAGCGTGCGCGCGCGCGCGCGCGCACACACACACACACACACACACACACACACACACACACGATAGACAGTCAGACAGAGAGACAGAGAGAACATGCCATACCACACAGCTTCCGAGTAATTATTTGGTCTGAAATTTGCCTGTGAACTTTTGAGGACACGCCCTCAGAGAGAGCGAGCAGTGTGAAAATGATACTGAACCCATTACAAAGAAGCATCACTTCTTCGTAACGAGTTCAGTATCCCCATCTGGGGAACAGAGACAGCGGGAGTAAATCATCTCGCAGAATAAGAGAGGCTGGAATAGTTACCTCACTTAACTCCTTGGCATAGCTAGTTTCTGGCTAGAAATGTAACAACAGGCACTCTGTTTTAAAACTTAAAAGATTGACTCACAAATTCACTGTGGGCTGAGTATTCTAGAAGCGTCCCATTACGTGTGCTCCTGGACAGCAGTTCAGCATCTCCCCTTTCTCTCCTTTCTCCTCTCACTGTCTCTCTTGGATTTTCCCACCTGGCTCCATCCTGCCCTGCCATAGGCCAATGCAGCTTTATTTACTAACCAATGAGAACAGCATATATTCACAGCATACAGAAAGATATCCCACAGCACTTGCCTTTGTTCACTTATTGGGAATTTTTATATATTAAGAATGTCTATTAGAGCATGGCTCAGTGGTAGAGTATGTATGTATTGCCTACATATGGTTCCTGTTCCATAACTGGCTTACTCCTTCTTTTTGTCCTGTGTCTCAGTCTGTCTGGTGATCAGAACTCAATACAGAACTCTATGGGTATGCTCTAGAGACCTTGGGCTCTGTGATGTTTCCCCTTCTCAGGGCTGGTTGCCATGACAACAGGCAATTGGTCACCGAGTGATCACCATGAGCTTGGCTTCACCGTCTGCCATGGCTTTCTCTGTAGAAGTCCAAAGTGTCTCAGACTCTTTCACTTGACTGTGCTTGACTGCCCATCCTATGTCCTATGTGTCTTTGTAGGCTGGCAGCAGCAGCCACACATGAGACTTCTTTCAAGGGCTTCCTGGCATTACTAGTCAACTCCATCAGCCTTCACATCCAGCCTGTCAGGTCTTGGACTATGACAATGCCTCTCCCTGTTCAACCTCCAGTTTCCATGCCTCAGTATCAACTCCCAGCCAGATTTAACTAGCCTTCCTTTGGTCTGGAAAGCTTGGTCCTGAGCCTCAGACTCGGGAAGGATGCTATAAACACTCCAAGTGCTTTAGGCTAAATGGTCTCTGCTCTCTGCTGTGTCTCCTCGCAGCCTAGCTGCTCTAGGAGCCCAGAACTATACATGTTGCTATCTCTCTGTGGTAGTTTGCATGCACTTGGCCCCGATAGGCTCATAGGGAATGGCATTATTAGGAGGTGTAGCCTCGTTTGAGTAGGTGTCACATTGTTGGAGAAAATGTGTCTCACTTCACTTCCTTCTTCCTGAGGATCAAGATGTAGAACTCTCAGCTCCTTCTCCAGCACCATGTCTGCCTGCATTCTGCCTGCCATGATGATACTTGAGTAAACCTCTGAAACTGTAATCCAGCCCCAATTAAATGTTTTCCTTTATAAGAGTTTCCATGATCATGGTGTCTCTTTCAAGCAATAAAAATCCTAACTAAGACTCTCTCTTTGGGTTTCTGCCTTCTGTACCACAGATGGGAGATTGTCCTTAGGAAGAATATAGGGTACAGCTCAGTTTGTGAGCTGTTTTTCAGTGATCATGTGTGGGAGATGGCCATCCCCTGCTGGGACGTGGTGGCCTTCCCATAACTTGTCCCTGCTCTTTGCAGCTACGGGGTATTGATGGCAAACTCTCCAATGCAGCAGTTACCCATTACTGCTCATACTCACCTATCAACATGTACACAGTGAGTATCCACAGTGTTCTTGGCACTGGGAACACAGACCAGAACAAGTGCTGAGATCTTCACACCCAGGAAGCTCACAGTCTAGGGATAAAACAAATGCTGAACAACCACAAAAATAAAGCCGTGCCTGGAACCGTAATGGACACTGTTGGTTAAAAGCAGCACACGGGGAGAGCCAGTACCCCAGTGCTGCCCGGGAGAACGGCTCTTCAGAAAGGTGATGTGGGAAATGTGAAGATCGGACCTAAAACCATTGCACAGTTAAAGGGATGAAGGAGAATCTGTGATAAGGCAGGGGGCAGGCTGGGAGAGAAGGCTCTAGGTAGGAGGAGCATGTTGTGTTGGGGGGGGCATCTACAGCTCTGGGTAGGACAGGCATGTTGGGGGGCATCCACAGCTCTGGGTAGGACAGACATGCTGTGGGGGGGGCACCTACAGCAAAAACCATGTGTGGCTGGACAGGTGATGGAGGCCTTATGATGTCTGACATGCTATCCTGAGAAGAGGAGCCAGACCACAGTGCTCCAGCACGATGGAGTCTGGAAAGCTACACTGTTCAGCCGGGTGCCAAAATCCTAGTCCATGCATCACCTGTTCTGAACGAGCCTCTCCAAGCACCAGAGGAAATAAACTTCTCAGAGCACGTGGAAATGGACCGAGGACCCAGGCCTTCCAAGAATCCATGTTCTGTGGGCCTCAGCTGGTTCTCCCCTCCTTCTAATCTCCAGATGAGGGAACTATGCCTGCTGTCCTCACAGCAGGGGTCCTTGCTGCTCTGACAGATCGTTCTCTGTGGCTGTGTTTAGTTTTCCTGGGGGAGGGGTGAAGGTTCTAGAATGAAGTGAGTTTGGCCAGTACTCAGAGGGAGCTAGGACATGAGAAGAGTTGGTGTCAAGGATTAAAAATATTCTAGGGGATGAGGACAGGCCACAAGATAACACATACCAGCCGCTAGGCACTGCTTGCCATTGTCCACTTATTGGGAATCTTTATATATTAAGAAATGTCTATTAGAGCATGGCTCAGTGGTAGAGTATGTAGGTATTGTCTATGTGTGTGAGTTTTCTGAGATTCCTGGGTAGAGAGGTGGGGGGCGGAGATTCATCCTACGTTTCACTCTGTAATTTGAACTTCAACATTTTAAATTATTGAAGGAAAGTTTTCAAATACAGTATCTATAGCTCATGTTTTGGGTCAGCCCTTCACATGCTACCTAATTGCTTATTTCCAGGTACTCAAAATGGGAAGTCTTTGCCTAACATAAGCAAATATTGATTATGATGACCAATTTCATCCTCAATTAATTGGTGATTAAAATATTTTCCTCTTAGGCAAGAAGTAATCAATATTCATACCCATATCATACGTTTTGAACTGTTTTAAAAGGAACCATGTGAATTAGAATTTTTAAAGAGATTCTGCTACAGCAAAGGCAGGCATTTTTCTCTGTGTAAGATTCCAGAAGGAAACATAACTGCACACACTAGAAACAGTTACACGCCCATCATCATATGTAGCTATAACCTAACTGCTCAATGTCACATCACATACGTTTCATCCGGCTAAATTACTGAAAATAAAATGTATAGTGTGATATATTGCAGCCATATAGTGTGTACAGTTTGTATATAAAAAAGAATGATTAAAAGTCGATGAGAGAGTGTTTATAAATCTTGATTGCTTCATAATTTTAACTTTGAGCAACATTTTTATCATAATTATAGGCTTTCTTAAAGCATTTATGCAGATTGTTGTTGCTCAAAAGGGGGTTTATTCCATTTTGGTATAAACTACACTTTTTTTTCTTTATGAAATCACTCTTTGAGTTCCTAATACCCAGTACTCTGCAAGAGCCATAGAATTCAAGTAACAGGAGGCGTTTGCCCCGCAGAGTGCGATGTCCCTCTGTGCCCTGGCCATTCAGTGCCCATGGACGCAGGGTGAAATGGTGCAGTCCCACAGTGACCAGTACTGGACATGCGGGATGTTCCTGACCCTTTTCCCACACGTGTGTCCCTGTGAGATCAGTCTATTTCTGCACCCAGTTCACAGATTAAGAAACTGAGCCCTAAAGGCTTAGCCAATGACAGATTGTCCCACTGGACATTTGATCTGGAAAATGGACCTAGGAACAATCAATGATGCAGTTTTATTTTTGACCTTGAAAAGTTGAGGTCCCCAAAAGGTGATGTAACCTGCCCGGTATCCAGTCAGGATATTTTCTATTACTGAGCCCAGTGGATAGTGTGAATAAAATTCAGGCTAAAACACTCGGAGGCCTCAGCAGCTCATAGCCTTACTGCCAGGGGGGTAAAAATGAGGTTCGAGGTTCTTTCCCTCCAAGAATTTTCATTTTTGCCACACGGTCTATGAAAAGGATTGGGGGAAGATATCACCAGAAACAAAACACAGAACTATGTGAGGAAGCATAAAGAGAAACTGTCCAGAAAAATATCTAGTAGACTCCACCAAACCAATCTACAAATCTCTCCATGTTCTCTAGGGACCAAGGCTAGTCTTGGTCTCAGTTCCCTCATTTCATCCCAAGGCCAAAGATGATACCTGCCAAACAGAAGGTGATCCACAAATGTTTGTAAAGTAGATGAATGAGTGAGTGTGAGGATGGATGGAAAGGCAGATGGATGGATGATAGATAGATAGATAGATAGATAGATAGATAGATAGATAGATAGATAGATAGATAGATAGATAGATAGACAGATAGCTAGATAGGGTGAGCTATGTGGGGATGGATGGATGGATGGATGGATGGATGGATGGATGGATGGATGAGTATATGAGTAGGTAGAGAGACTAAGGGATATATGGACAAATGAGTGAACAGATATGTAGATAGGTGGCTATGTGGGTGGATGGATGGGTGGATGGATGGATGGATGGATGGATGGATGGATGGATGGATGGATGGATGGATGGATGGATGGACAGGAGAGTTAGTAAATGGACAGATGAATGGGTAGATGGATGTCTGGAAAAATAATAAAAAAACAACAAATAAGGGGTTCTATGAAAAAAATATGACATGTAAATTCTTTGCATAAATTCACATAAAGAAATAAGCCTTTATCAATAGGGTTAGTATAAATCTTAAGATATAACCACCCCTATTTAAAACAAAGAAAAAGACAGTTTGATATAAGATAGTATGTAACAGGTGCCCTACTGTTACCATGGATGGCTTATGTTTAAGAAGTCGCCAAGAAAGGGAGTGTGCATGTCAGGTTGGCATGCTCATTGAGACATGAAGACTGGCCAGAGTGTTCAGTCACTGCTGACAGACACAGAAAGTCACTCACAGCATGCTGCCTGGGGAAGCCTGTGGAATCTCCTCAGAGAAGCGGGGCGTTCCTGGTTTGACCCCCCTCCATCGTTTCCCAACACAGAGATCTAAAGAACAGGGTGTGGATGAACACCGTGAGCACAGGAGAGGTCTGTGAGCAAAAAGGCCCCGTGCTTCCTATCAGATCAGACAAGTCCTTCGTTTCTCACAGCAGTACAGTGTCGGGTGTCTGCTTTAGGACTGGGAAATGAAGCACTGGAGATGTTGAAGAAGTCAACTACCACCACACAGGATGGAGCAAATGTAAGACACTCTGCCATCTCTTCATTTATCAACAAATATGTCAACACCTGTGGGGTTTCAACCACTGTTCCAGGTGACAACAGATCCTATCTGGTGACCT